CTGAACTCACAGCAGGTTTCGTCATTGATAATGCAATGTGCTTTCTGTAATTGTGGTGTAACATCCTCAAGGGCAATGTAAGCAACTGGAGGACAACAATGAGATTTTAAATTTTGTTAGAGCACCTAGCATATATCATGTGCACAGTAAAGGCACTCATAATCAGTTGGGTGAATGAATGGTGAATGGAATCTTAACCAACGGATGGAGATTTTTCAATGTTGCCATACCTGAGACCACAGAATTGATAGGTTGGCGACATCTTAAAATGATTACTTCAAAGAGTTCTGTAGTAGGACATCTGTTTCCACTAAATTAATGTATTTTGTTTACTTATTTTATGAAAGTAATGAGGCTGAGTGCAGTCATGCCTGTAATCCCAGCACTTTGGGAGGCCACGGCAGGCGGATCACCTGAAGTGAAGAGGTCCAGACCAGCCTGGCCAACATGGTGAAACCGTTTGTACTAAAAATACAAAAAATTAGCTGAATCTGTAGTCCCAGCTACTAGGGAGGCTGAGGCAGGGGAATCACTTGAACCCAGAAGGCAGAGGTTGCCGTGAGCTGAGATTGTGCCTCTGTACTCCAGCCTGGATGACAGAGCAAAACTCTACCAAAAAAGAAAGTAATGAAATTAAGATTTCTTTAGGGTGGCAAGATTTTGCTTTCACAAGTAATTGATACCTCACATTCTTTAAAGTGTTCGTCATTTTATGCCATTTAACGTGAAGAATCCTGGGGTCAGAGTTTAAAACCTTTTCTCATGCTGATGATTAGTTTATTCAAAGAAGCTGGAGGTAATGAAAACCCAGAATTCTTTCCTCCTAGTCTTTTTCAGTTTTGAAATCAAATCAGTCTTTGGCCTGAAGAGCATAGCAGTAGACAGAAATACTTGTGATCTATCTTGCAACTTGAATGTAAACTGCATTGAACAACATAAATGTGAACAATCACGCTGCAGGTCTTAAATCTTTGTTGTTAGGTTATCTGCATGACCTGACTGTAACCTCAGGAAATGCTCTTTGAACTGGTTTGTGTCACCTCACACTTTTCTTGTCGGAAATAATTCTAGTAATAATGATTCTAGCTTTACAATGTCTATAAGCGCTGCTTAGTCAATTAACTGCATCTGATATTCTCAAGAACAAACTGTTGATTTCGTATGTCTTTTCTTGTTTCTGAAGTGCCAATTAGTCCAGGTTTCCGTGCTGAGCACTCCTGATGGCTTCCTGTGGACTGCAAAGTGATTTTGCAGTAAAATCAGCTCCTGATTTTACTCTGTGCTAGATTTCTTTCTTTGGATTAGAGGTGTTTTCCGAATGCGGTGGGGTTTTTTCTCGTTTTATATTTTGAAAGAACTTGACAGGTCTGACCTAGAGAGTTTTTAAAGCTCTGTAAGACCAGTGTGCTGCTCTGCTTTGTAGGAGTCATTCCTAGACAAAGGCAGCGTGAAAGCCCTAGTAGGTTAAAGATTTCTCACTATCACAGCACACACTTCATGTGAGCATTCCTTGCTGTTGAATCCGTTGAGCTCCTGAATTTGGATGGAAAGATTTTGGATGTAGTAAGTTCAGACAGTAAAGTGTTAATCCAAATACATGTAGTTTCTGAGTTTCAGATAATGAGGGATGTCTCAAATTTATCCATGTCTCTTTGGTTTCTAGGTATAGATAAGAATAGTCAGATTGTGAGGCATACCTATAATTTGTTGTTAAGGTGGCATCTGGTGGTGAGGTAAAAAACCTCCATTTCTAGTCAGGTGCTGTGGTTCATGCCTGTAATCCCAGCACTTTGGGAGGCCGAGGTGGGTGGATCACCTGAGATCAGGAGTTGAGATCAACCTGATCAACATGGCAAAACCCCGTCACTACTAAAAATACAAAAAAATCAGTCGGGTGTGGTGGCACATGCCTGTAATCCCAGCTACTCGGGAGGTTGAGACAGGAGAATCACTTGAACCTGGGAGGCGGAGGTTGCAGTGAGCTGGGACAGGGCCACTGCTCTCCAGCCTGGGCGACAGGGTGAGACTCTGTCTTGGCGGGGAGAAGATTCTGATAAAATGCTGTGAAGATCATCTGCAGACCTTGTTAAAATGAAGTCTGAGTCAGGGTAGGGGGTGGGGTCTGAGATCCTTTCTAGGCAGTTCTCACGGGGAGCCAATGCTGCCTGTGCAAGGACCACCATCCAGCAGCAAAGATCCACTGTACTTCGCAGACAAGGAAGCTGGCCGGAGAGGGAGTGACTTGTCCAGGGTGACAGGGCAGGGTGGCATATATGAAGCTAAGGGCCCGGGAATGTGCATGCAGCTGTTTTGCCAAAATTTGGTCCCCTCCTTAAGCTGACCCCGGATAGTGTCTACTATTTATTTTTATTTTATTTTTTGAGACTGAATTTCATTCTATCCCCCACGCTGGAATGCAGAGGCACAAATCTGACTGCAAGCTCTGACTCCTGGGTTCAAGTGATTATCTTGCCTCAGCCACTCGAGTAGCTGGGATTACAGGCGTGTGCCACCACGCCTGGCTAATTTTTTTTGTATTTTTATTAGAAACGGGGTTTCACCACTTTGGTCAGGCTGGTCTCGAACTCCTGACCTTGTGATCCACCCACCTCAGCCTCCCAAAGTGCTGGGATTACAAGTGTGGGCCACCACACCCAGCCTTTTTATTTATTTTGCATTTCAATAGAATCAGCTTTATTTATGTATTAAAGCCAAAGAAACGGTCTAAAAGCAAATACATATATGTACCAAGGGATAGTGGACATGACCTGATACTTACAAGGGAACTGATGTGTCATAATGGAAACAGCATATTAGAAGAAAAAAATATATATATTTTGAGACAAAGTTTTATTCTTGTTGCCCAAGCTGGAGTGCAATGGCATGATCTCAGCTCACCGCAACTGCTTCTTAAGTTCAAGCGATTCTCCTGCCTCAGCCTCCTGAGCAGCTAGGATTACAGGCATGCGCCACCACACCCAGCTAATTTTGTATTTTTAGTAGAGATGGGGTTTTGCCATGTTGGTCGGGGTAGTCTCAATCTCCCAACCTAAGGTGATCCCCGCCTTGGCCTCCCAAAGTGCTGGAATTACGGGTGTGAGCCACCTCACCTGGCCAAAAAATAGCATCTCGTGCTGTCTGCTTGAGTTATCTGGAGATGGAAGTTAAGTGAAAGGTGCTCCCACCAAGGCCATTCTCCCTCCAACAGGGTGTCTCACACAGTGGAGACAATGAGCAGATAGCACCTAAATCCCACTGACAAATAAGGTGATAAATATTTGCTTCAAGCTTGTCAAACTACGTCCTTCTAAACATGGTTTGAAAGGAAAGGCAGTGAGAAAGCCTTGGAATTTTATCAGTTACTACAAGGGAGAGAATACTTTTTTTTCAAAAATATCTGTGTGGGTGGCAGTTATTCATTCATTCATTCATTTATTTATTTCAGTTTCGCTTGTCACCCAGGCTGGAGTGCAATGTTCACTGCCACCTCTGCCTCCCGGGCTCAAGCAATTCTCTTGCCTCAGCCTCCTGAGTAGCTGGAATTACAGGCATCTGCCACGCCTGGCTAATTTACATTTCTAGCAGAGAAGGGGTTTAACCATGTTGGCCGCCAGGCTGGTCATAAACTTTTGATCTCAGATTATCCACCTGCCTCGGCTTCCCAAAGTGCTGGGATTACAGGCCTGAGCCACTGCCCCCCGTCAGATTTTTTAAACCATTCTGTGTCAATGGTGCAGATGAACTACACTTGTGCCCAGGAGAAAGCAGAAGGGCATTCGAACCTCAGGCCACCGAAGCCGACCCCTGAAACGTGAGCCATGGTGAGAAATAAGCACAGAGGCAAAGCCCCTTGCCCGGTGTCACAGGAAGTGGTGGAGCTGGAACCTGACCTAGAAGTGTCTGATGTATACAAGCATGGACCGACTCTGTAGCCTGAAACTCCAACATTATTGAAGGAAAAGAGAACCACACAAAGCTCTCCAGTGCCCAGTCTCAGCAGCTCTCCCGTCATTTCCTCCTCCCTGCCCAGGGGCTGAAAGGGCACCTGCTCAGAGGCTGCACAAGTTTCTGTCGGAGGCCTGAACGGTGTCCTGTGTAGCAGCACGAGGTTTCCCTAGCAACCCCACCAGCCAAATGCACACATTACAGAGAATGCCACAGCCTTCTCCAAGGAAAGCCTCTTCCCTGCAACCAATCACAGGAGCATCTGCCTTAATTGCCCTCCTACTCCCCGCACCTAGCAAGGGGCTGGTTTACGCTCAGGCTCCGTTGAAAGGATGAATGAACAAAAGCTTTGTCAGTCCTATGAAGAGCTTCCAATCCCCACTGGGCGTCCGCAGCACCGGGCTGCCCCTCCATAGAGCAGGTGTGTTGCTCACTAAGTAGGAAAGATCCCACGTGTTAGGGCCTGGGCCCATTTTGGCCTCTATCCCTAACGCAGCTCAGCGTGCTGCACTTAGTAGGTGCTCAGATCTGAAATAAACCAGGGTTTCTTTTTATCCTTGACAGTTTTGCTCTCATTGCTCAGGCTGGAGTAGTGACATGATCTTGGTTCACTGCAACCTCCAACTCCCTGGTTAGACTTTCTCCTGCCTCAGCCTCCTGAGTAGCTGGGATTACAGGCACACACCACACCCCGCTAATGTTTGTATTTTTAATAGAGACAGGGTTTCACCATGTCAGCCAGGATGGTCTCAAACTCCTGACCTCAGGTGATTCACCTTTCTAGGCCTCCCAAGGTGCTGGGATTATAGGCATGAGCCACCACGCCAGCCTTAAACCAAGGTTTCTAAGATGCTCTCAGCCTCCTCAGATCTGGCCCAGCCCACCTTTCCACCTTACCTTTTCTGCACAACTGCCCACAGCTAGCCCAGCCGCTAGCCCAGCCTACGCAACAGCCAGTCTGGCTCCCCCACAATGCAGAGCCGGCACTGGCCACAGGAGCCAGGCCCAGTCCCATCCAGGGCCTGCCTGCCGCAGACGAATGCTACAGACACAGCTGGTAGCACATGGCACTGTTTATTGTGACGCACGGTGGAAAACATCTGTAGACCAGCTTACTGCAGTGGTGACCGCTGCAACACATGCTCAGGCACTTTTATTATATAAAATAGAGGGGAGGGCGGGAGTTCCACCCGCTCCTTTGTGACAGCAACCGGGACCTGAATTCAGAGCCTTGTAGGCATATGCAGCTTTCGTATCGCTTCATGATTTGAGTTTGTTTCCTTTAAAAAAAATGCCTTCTTGCCGTAAGGCTCAACACGGCATATAGAAAACGGTTAGGAATACAGGTAAATTCGGCAACCAATGTAGACCAGTGAGGACGAGCTACTCTCTTCTAAAGAAAGGCAGTGAGAAAGCCTCAGAATTTTTTTATTAGTAGAAAAGGGAAAAAAGAAAACCTTTTTGTTTTTCTGCTTTCAAAATATCTGCAGGTGGCAGATTTTTAAACCATACTGCATCTACCGTGCAGGTAAACTACCCTCGGGCCTGGAGGGAGACGGGATGGGGGTGGGAGGCACGTTCATAACAGTCCCAAGAAGGTCGAGGGAGGCGTGCGGCAGGGTCTGGGAAGGGGAGGCTGCAGTGTCCGCCTGTCCATGTGTCTCAGGCTGCAGGAGAGAGGCTTATTCAAAGGTTTGGCCTCAGCTCATCCGCTTTGCCATCCACCTCCTCTGAGCATTTGTCGGGGCAAACGGCAGGTCCCCACGCCTGGGGACAGAGGCAGAGGCAGAGTCAGCAGGGAGTTTGTGTGCTGTGCTCCCCTGGCCAGGGAGGCCGCAGCACAGCACACAAATCCCAAAGCAAATTCGAGAGGGAAATCAGGCGCCTGGCTGCTCCCACCAGAAAGAAGCAAGGCGGAGCCTTGGGAGCCACAGCTCAGCTGGACAGGAACGCTCTCAAAAACCTCTTCCCGCAAAATATTTAGTGGTCAGACATCTTCATACACAACAGCAGCACACAAACAGTTCAGGCAAACAGGAACACTTACAACAGGAAAGGCAGAAAAGTGTAAAATGCCACCTTCTGTTCCAACTCATAAAACAGGTGACACCACAGCGGGTACACAGGTGAACCACAGCGGGTTCACACAGACAGGCACCTTCTATCCCACGGCAGGAAATTCACATCCAATACTGACTACTGATGCTTAAAAAAAGGCCCCATGAAGCCCAGACATGGAGGTGCATGCTTGTAATCCCAGCACTTTGGGAGACCGAGGCAGGTGGATCACCTGAGGTCAGGAGTTTGAGACCAGCCTGACCAACATGGTGAAACTCCATTCCTATTAAAAATAGAAAAATTAGCCAGGTGTGGTGGCAGGCTCCTGTAATCCCAGCTCCTGAGGCAGGAGAATCGCTTCAACCCAGGAGGCGGAGGCTGTAGTAAGCCAAGATTGTGCCATGGGACTCCAGCCTGGGCAATCAGAGTGAAGTCTCCAAAATAACAAAAATTCCCATGAAAAAGAGGTAAGAAATGAGAATCTCAGAAAATAAGATCCTCTGCTGCAAAGCCCCTTGCCCAGTGTCACAGGAAATGGACGTGTGATGCGGGACCCTGGTTAGAAGCTCTGGGCGTGAGGCCCACCAGCCCCACTGCCCCGCCTGCTGCCCCTCTGGATGCCCCCAGCGCCCGAACCTGGTCCTTGTAGTGCTCGGCGTTCCTCCGCTTATCATCCACCTGCAGCAGCATATCCTTCAGCTGCTTCTCTGTCCGACGCACCTGCTTACAGGCTGCCTGGCGCTCCCTGTGTGGTAGACAAGGTGGCTCAGAGGGAACACCCTCCTTCAGAGGGTCAGGCCAACACATCCTAATCTGGTCACCCCACCCATTCCCCGGGCCTCACTGGCATCTAGGGATCACCTAGGGAGGCCTTTGCTGGACGCCTATGACGTGCCTGGCTTCTTACAAGGGGCACTGCAAATAGTCCCATTTACAAATGAGGAAACAGGCCTCAAAGAGCATCTATGTAGCTGGAAAAGAGGTTTGGGGCCTGGTGTAACTCCCATTGTCTCAGTCCTGCTGAGCCCAGAGATCAGCTGTCCTGGTGGGCAGGACCGCCCTCTACCTCCTCATCCTTAGACATAGCCACCAAAGCTCCTGGCTTTAGAGGTGGAACAGATGATCCTGTTCAAACCCCACAAGCTCCCCCCACCACCCATCCAGTGGAAGGGATAAGGGCCCCATCAGGAGGGAGGAAAACAGCCCCCAGGACTGAGAAGACACAGCTACACAGCTGGTTGCTGACCCAAATCTGGGCAGGACTACAGAGGGGCTGGAGGTTTCTCCAGGCCAGTGGGGGTGGAAGCAGGGGCAGGAGCACGTACTTGGTCTCATTCTCCAGTTGCTCCTCCAGCTGTGCGATCTTGGCCTCGAGGGCAGTGAGGGAGGCCTTGTACATTAACTTCACAGAGCCCTCCACCTCCTGCAGCTGGACCTTGAGCTCCTCGTTCTGCTGCTCCAGTTCCTGCCGAGCGTTCTCGATCTTCTGGGCGTGGCTGCGCTCCAGGTTCAGGTCAGTGTTGATCTGGTCGATCTGCAGGAGGAGGGCTGGTGACCTAGGGGAGGGCTGGGCCCTGGCTAAAGGGTATAAGCAGGGCAGGAGGAAGGTGGCAGCAGGATGCCACCACACCCTCGACACCCAGCAAAGAAGCCGGAGAGTGATCTTTCATGTCGTTGCCTGGACATATTCCCTCAAGCGGCGGGGAAGCGGCGGCACGTGGCCTGTGCATCTGCTGGCTAGGTCCGAGGCCAGCTCCACCAGGGTGGCTCCAGAGCCGAATGGGAGAAGGCTGGCCGGCGCTGGCACTCACCTGCAGGTTGGCCTTCTGCAGGCGGTCATAGATCAGCTCCCTGTTGCCCTGCTCCTCCTCCAGCTCCTCGATTAGGGCTGCCAGGGCTCTGTGGGGTGGGTGGGAGGAGTGAGGGGCCCAGCCCAGGGACACACCTGGTCCCTCCCAACTCTGCCCCCTTACTTAGCTCACCCTTTGCCGCGGCTGTTGGCGATCTCGTCGGCCAGCTCGTCCCGCTCCTGCTGGGCCTGGCGCTTGGCACGCTCCGCGGCTGCCAGTTCCTGCCACAAAGATCCAGAATGTGACCTGAAGGCAGCCACAGCCCCACAAGACCATCCTTCCCAGCCCTGGGCACCCTCCTCTCAAGCCCTTCCCCAGCCCCACTTCCCCAGAAAGCTCTTCCTCCACGATTCCTCTAGCTCACAGGGCTGGTGGCCCCCTAAAGTCATAGCTTAAAAGCATTGTATGTTTATAAAACTCAACTACATTTAAGTGCTAGGAATCAAGCCAGGTGCCAGGGTATGTTGATGACTTAACAAGTGTCCTGGCCTAACCAGGGCAGACCACATGGACAGAGCCGCTCACTGCTGCCCCGACCCTGTTCTGGGTAGCCAGAGCCCGGAGTCAGCTCCGGAGCCTGCAGGCAGGAGACGGCTGTAACCTGGGCGCACTCACACCCGGCAAGTTACACTGCAGGGCACCCTCTAGACCCAGGGAACACTTCAGGACTGGCTCAGGTGCGACATGGACAGAGCAGCCTCGGGAATGCTGAGACCCTCTGTCACCAGGACACAGTCACGGTAGGAGGTGGTGGCAGCCACGGAGCCTCATCTGATGTGAGGCATTTCCCTCACACACAATCTCACAGCAGGGAGGCCCGCTATGTAACGGAACCCTGGAGGGAATCCTTTTGTAACGCGAGAGCTGTCCCCAGCCAATTCCTGGAGCTGAGTCGGACCTTAGCCCTGCCCTCTGCTGAAAGTCCTGTGCTGCCACCTGCTGGCTGCCGGGCAGCAGTGCCGCTCTCCGCTGCCGCCCCACCCACCTCCTCCAGCTGGATCATCTTGGCCTCCATGATCTTCAGGTTCCTCTCATTCTCTTTGGCCTGGGCCAGGATCTCCTCACAAGAGGCGCGGGTGTCATCCAGCTCACGCGTGCAGTCGTTGACCTGGGCCTGGGGCAGGGACAGAGGCTTGGCACCCCACCCAGGTCCTTGGCTCTCGGCCCTCCACCCCCACCCTCCCACGTCATCTCACACACAGGGTTGTTGGCTGTGCTCTGCTCGATATTTAACCAACTAACCGTGGTGACAGGGAGAAAAAGCAACTGAGGACAAAAATCTGTGTCCCACTTCATAACGCACACTGACAGTATTGGTCACTGTGGACGCAAGCCCAAGCTGAGCTTCATTTTCCACTTCTGTCCCCTCTGTAGGCCGGAGACCAGTGCCCACGGTGCACGGTGCCACCCCTAATGCGCACCTGCCGCTTGAAACCAGTGCCCAGCCTGGCAGGTGTCCCCACCACAGGCAGGAAACACCTTTCCTTTTGTTACTCATCTCCTATTTGTTTTAATGCTAAAGATTTTTGTCAAATACTCTTTTTTTCCATTTGCAGATAACTCCAAAAACAGATTCCCCAAGCCAAAGCGCATGAACGGGTGTGTGCAGCCAGACCACAGCAGCAGAACATGCCAACAGCAGAGTATCTGTGCCCCACAACCTTGCCCACAGTTAGCTTTTACAGATTTTTGTTTTTTGCCCAGGCACAGCAGCTAACACCTGTAATCCCAGTCCTTTGGGAGGCCGAGGCTGTCAAGATCACGAGGTCAGGAGTTCGAGACCACCCTGACCAACTCAGTGAACCACTGTCTCTACGAAAAATACAAAAATTAGCCAGGCATGGGGACACACACCTATAATCCCAGCTACTCGTGAGGCTGAGGCAGGAGAATCACCTGAACCCAGGAGGCAGAGGTTGTGGTAACACAAGATTGCGCCACTGCACTCCAGCCTGGGCAAAAGAGCAAGACTACTATTTTAAATCTAGGGTTATTCTTGCTACATGAGATGACATATCAGAGCTGTTTTTATGTGTTCATTGTTCTTCAATTATTGGTGAGGTGAAAATTTCCAAGTATGTATCCCACACTCTAGGCTGCTTCTCGGAACCATCACGCCGGAGCCCAGAAGGCTGGAGCGTCAGGACGCGGCTGATGCTGGAGTCTGCACTGGGTGAGGCCTTCTGAACTCCCCCATGCCTGGGCCTGCACTTGCCTGTTTGCTTCTGCGTTTCATGTACTCAGCCATGCACCGTTCTGCAAGTTTGCTGTTGGACTATTGTTTCCACTCACCTCTGAGCCTGTGTCTCCATCAGTGAGATTGGACTGGAAGCACCCAAAACCTCCCCAAGAGGCACCACCCTGCCAGGTTCCTGCCCCAGTGCCCTCGCATGTAGCTGGCTCAGCTGGGCACCGCCCGCCCTCACCCGCCACTTCTGCAGCTGCTCGATGGCTTCATCCCGGTTTTTGTTGGCCGAGTCGATGTCCATCTCCAGCTTCTTCCGGGCGGCCACTGCCATGGAGTGCCGCTTCCTCTCGTCCTCCAGCTCTGCCTCCATCTCCCGCAACTGGAGGAAGGAACGCCGACAGCTTGGAAAGCTGGACCCACTCAGAGACCCTGCTCTGGCTCTGAACGCAGGTGCCTCTGCAGGATCTGAGGGGCCTCCGGAAGCCAGTGGCGATTACTGACTCGAAGAACTCTAAGAAGGTGAGTTGCTGACCCAAATGACAGGGGACTGGACAGGAGGGACAGGGGAGGGGAGGCGTGGTCCAGGGCCCTAACACAATCCAGGTGAAGGAGGAAATGGAAGCCTGCATGAAGCCAGGGCAACCCTGGCCACCGTGGGGTGGCAGGAGCCCACGCACACCTGTCTGACCAGCTGCTGCTGCTTCTCCTCACTCTGCTCATCCCGGTCCTGCAGGTCCCGCTCGAACTGGATCTTCATGGCCTGCAGGTTGACCTCCAGCCGCAGATTGGCGTTTTCAGTGTCCTGCAGCTCATCCTCCAGCTCCTCCAGCTGGGTCTTCAACTCCTCCACCTGCTGCTCCAGAAGCCGCCTGGACTTCAGCTCATGGACCTGAGCCCCAGAGATCCCAAGTCAGGAGCAAAGAGACCGGCAGGGACCTGGGTCTGCTAGACCCGGAACGTGTGTATGCGTTGACCCTCTGTGATGACCCCGCTCGGGCCCCTCGCAAGGCCTGGCTGCCGGGCCCGGCACTCACCCTCTTGCCCTTGGAGCTCATGAGGTCCTCCATCTCCACACGGAACTGCTTGTTGAGCCGCTCCGGCTCCACTTTCTGCTCCATGGCTTCCTCCAGGGCCCGGGCCAGCGACAGCACCTTGGTCTCCTTCTCTCCGGCCTCGGCCTTGGCCCGGTCACGCTCCTCTGCATACTTGGCAGAGATGGTCTTCTCCTCTGCCAGGAGCTGGGAAAGAGGGGCACCATGAGGCTCAGCCCCACAGGCTCCCAGCTACAGCCCCCAGCAGGGCAGAGCAGCTGGACCCAGGCTAATTTTTGTATTCTTAGTAGAGATGGGGTTTCACCATGTTGGCCAGGCTGCTCTCGAACTCTTGACCTGGTGATCTGCCCACCTCGGCTTCCCAAAGTTCTGGGCTTATAGGCATATAAGCCCATGCCTAGTCAAGAGTGCATGCTTTAGAGTATACAGGCCCCACAGTCTCTGCAGTAACTCAACCCCACTACCACAGCGCAACAACCAGAGATGACACAAGAATGACACAGTGTGTGTGTGCATTCGGTCCAGCTTTGGTTCCCCAAAACGCAGCGAGCTGGACCCGGCCGCCGCAGTTCCATGCTCGATGTCTATCCCGCCCCGGTGTTCACATCTCTCTCAGCTTCCCGCAGATCTTTTGGAATAAGGAAGCAATATGAATGCACAAATAAATGATGTAAATGGCAAGAAAACCAGTTCATTATAGAAAATCTGAAAAAAAACATGAAAACCCAGAAAGGAAAAGTTCCTCCTCAACCCACTGCATGAAGACACCCTCTTCCGCTGGCCTTCTCCCCCAGCCCCTCAACAAGCCAGAGACTAAGGGTCCTCTAAGGGCTGGCCCCACATGACCCCTCCTGGGCAAGGTCCGGAGGGAGCCCAGGCTTTCTCTGATGAGGCCCCCACCTTGGGCTGAGTGCCGGAAGGAGAGAAAATGCAAAGGATGGGGTGGATGGCTACACACCTGGTCAAACTTCTGCTGCAGCTTCTCCAGGTGGCACGCCATCTGGCGCTGGTGGTCCAGGACCACGAGCAGGTCGTCCCGCTCCTGCTGGGCCTGGCGCTTGGCACACTCCGCGGCTGCCAGTTCCTGCCACAAAGATCCAGAATGTGACCTGAAGGCAGCCACAGCCCCACAAGACCATCCTTCCCAGCCCTGGGCACCCTCCTCTCAAGCCCTTCCCCAGCCCCACTTCCCCAGAAAGCTCTTCCTCCACGATTCCTCTAGCTCACAGGGCTGGTGGCCCCCTAAAGTCATAGCTTAAAAGCATTGTATGTTTATAAAACTCAACTACATTTAAGTGCTAGGAATCAAGCCAGGTGCCAGGGTGTGTTGATGACTAACAAGTGTCCTGGCCTAACCAGGGCAGACCACATGGACAGAGCCGCTCACTATTGCCCCGGCCCTGTTCTGGGTAGCCAGAGCCCAGAGTCAGCTCCGGAGCCTGCAGGCAGGAGACGGCTGTACCCTGGACGCACTCACACCCGGCAAGTTACGCTGCAGGGCACCCTCTAGACCCAGGGAACACTTCAGGACTGGCTCAGGTGCGACACGGACAGGGCAGCCACGGGAATGCTGAGAACCTCCGTCACCAGGACACTGTCACGGCAGGAGGTGGTGGCAGCCATGGAGCCTCATCTGATGTGAGGCATTTCCCTCACACACAATCTCATACCAGGGAGGCCCGCTATGTAACGGAACCCTGGAGGGAATCCTTTTGTAACGTGAGAGCTGTCCCCAGCCAATTCCTGGAGCTGAGTCGGACCTTAGCCCTGCCCTCTGCTGAAAGCCCTGTGCTGCCACCTGCTGGCTGCCGGGCAGCAATGCCGCTCTCCGCTGCCGCCCCACCCACCTCCTCCAGCTGGATCATCTGGGCCTCCAGGCTCTTCAGGTTCCTCTCATTCTCTTTGGCCTGGGCCAGGATCTCCTCACGAGAGGCGCGGGTGTCATCCAGCTCATGTGTGCAGTCTTTGACCTGGGCCTGGGGCAGGGACAGAGGCTTGGCGCCCCACCCAGGTCCTTGGCCCTCGACCCTCCACCCCCACCCTTACACGTCATCTCTCACACAGGGTTGTTGGCTGTGCTCTGCTCGATATTTAACCAACTAACCGTGGTGACAGGGAGAAAAAGCAACTGAGGACAAAAATCTGTGTCCCATTTCATAACGCACACTGTTGGTCACTGTGGACGCAAGCCCAGGCTGAGCTTCATTTTCCACTTCTGTCCCCTCTGTGGGCCGGAGACCTGTGCCCACGGTGCCACCCCTAATGCGCACCTGCTGCTTCAAACCAGTGCCCAGCCTGGCAGGTGTCCCCACCACAGGCAGGAAACACCTTTCCTTTTGTTACTCACCTCCTATTCGTTTTAATGCTAAAGATTTTTGTCAAATACTCTTTTTTTCCATTTGCAGATAACTCCAAAAACAGATTCCCCAAGCCAAAGCTCATGAACGGGTGTGTGCAGCCAGACCACAGCAGCAGAACATGCCAACAGCAGAGTATCTGTGCCCCACAACCTTGCCCACAGTTAGCTTTTACAGATTCTTTTTTGCCCAGGCACAGCAGCTAACGCCTGTAATTCCAGCACTTTGGGAGGCCGAGGCTGTCAGATCAGGAGGTCAGGAGTTTGAGACTACCCTGGCCAACACAGTGAACCACTGTCTCTACTAAAAATACAAAAATTAGCCAGGCATGGGGACACACACCTATAATCCCAGCTACTCGGGAGGCTGAGGCAGGAGAATCACCTGAACCCAGGAGGCAGAGGTTGTGGTAACACAAGATTGCGCCACTGCACTCCAGCCGGGGCAAAAGAGCAAGACTACTATTTTAAATCTAGGGTTATTCTTGCTACATGAGATGACATATCAGAGCTGTTTTTATGTGTTCATTATTCTTCAATTATTGGTGAGGTGAAAATTTCCAAGTATGTATCCCACACTCTAGGCTGCTTCTCGGAACCATCACGCCGGAGCCCAGAAGGCTGGAGCGTCAGGACGCGGCTGATGCTGGAGTCTGCACTGGGTGAGGCCTTCTGAACTCCCCCATGCCTGGGCCTGCACTTGCCTGTTTGCTTCTGCGTTTCATGTACTCAGCCATGCACCGTTCTGCAAGTTTGCTGTTGGACTATTGTTTCCACTCACCTCTGAGCCTGTGTCTCCATCAGTGAGATTGGACTGGAACCACCCTGCCAGGTTCCCGCCCCAGCACCCTGGCATGTAGCTGGCTCAGCTGGGCACTGCCCGCCCTCACCTGACACTTCCGCATCTGCTCGATGGCTCTATCCCGCTTCCTGTTAACCAAGTTGATGTGCGCCTCCTGGTGCATCTTCAGCTTCGTCCAGGTGGCCACTGCCTTGGAGTGCCACTTCCTCTCGTCCCCCAGCGCTGCCTTCATCTCCCGTACCTGGAGGAAGGAATGCCGACAGCTTGGGAAGCTGGACCCACTCAGAGACCCTGCTCTGGCTCTGAACCCAGGTGCCTCTGCAGGATCTGCGGGGCCTCCAGAAGCCAGTGGGGATTACTGACTCTGATAACAATAAGAAGGTGAGTTGCTGACCCAAGGGACAGGGGACTGGACAGGAGAGACAGGGGAGGGGAGGCGTGGTCCAGGGCAACCCTGACCACCGTGGGGTAGCAGGAGCCCACGCATACCTGTCTGACCAGCTGCTGCTGCTTGTCCCGGTCCTGCAGGTCCCGCTCAAACTGAACTTTCATGGCCTGCAGGTTGACCTCAAGCTGCAGATTGGCATCTTCAGTGTCCCGCAACTTATCCTCCAGCTCCTCCATCTGGGTCTCCATCTCCTCCACCTGCTGCTTCAGAGCCTGCCTGGACTTCAGCTTATAGACCTGAGCCCCAGAGAGCCCAAGTCAGGAGCAAAGGGACTGGCAGGGACCTGGGACTGCTAGACCCGGAACGTGTGTATGTGTTGCCCTCTGTGATGACCCCGCTCGGGCCCCTCCCAAGGCCTGGCTGCCAGGCCCAGCACTCACGCTCTGGCCCTTGGAGATCCTGATGTCCTCCATCTCCATGCGGAACTGCTTGTTGAGCTGCTCCAGCTCCACCTTCTGCTCCATTACTTCCTCCAGGGCCTGGGCCAGCGACAGCGCCTTGGTCTCATTCTCTCGGGCCTCGGCCTTGGCCCAGTCACGCTCCTCTGCACACTTGGCAGAGATGGTCTTCTCCTCTGCCAGGAGCTGGGAAAGAGGGGCACCATGAGGCTCAGCCCCACAGGCTCCGAGCTACAGCCCCCAGCAGGGCAGAGCAGCTGGGCCCAAGCTAATTTTTGTATTCTTAGTACAGATGGGGTTTCACCATGTTGGCCAGGCTTTCCTCAGATCTTTTGGAATAAGGAAGCAATATGAGTGCACAAATAAATGGTGTAAATGGCAGGAAAACCACTTGATTATAGAAAATCTGAAAAACGTGAAAACCCAGAAAGGAAAAGTTCCTCCTCAACCCATGAAGACACTCTCTTCCGCTGGCCTTCTCCCCCAGCCTCTGAACAAGCCAGAGACTAGGGGTCCTCTAAGTGCTGGCCCCACACGACTGCTCCCGCGCAAAATCTCGAGGGAGCCCAGGGTTTCTCTGATGAGGCCCTCGTCTTGGGCTGAGTGCTGGAAGGAGAGGAAATGCAAAGGATGGGGTGGATGGCTACACACCTGGTCAAACTTATTCTGCTTCTCCTGCAGGTTGCACACCCTCTGGCGCTGGTGGTCCAGCTCCTGCTGCAGCCATGTCTTGGTATTCTCCATCTCCTCGTACCGCTGGCTCAGGCCCTCCAGGTCCTCCCGGACCTGCCCCTTCACCTCCTCTGCGGTTTCCAGGCACCCCACACTGTCAATTCTCTTCTTCATGTCGGCCACCTGGGCAGGAGCAAGGAGTAAGCAGATGCCCGAGATGGCACACACCTGTCCCTGGGGCAGCTAAGAGCCTGCCTGCCACACTGTGAAAGGGGAACCAAGGATCTGCCCAGTTATGAAACTGCCTCCCCCAGTCACTTCCCTCTCCATGGTGGGGGAGACAAATGAAGTTTCTGCACAAAGGCATCCATCTAGTGTTTGAAGCTGCGGGGAGGCTGACTCCTAGGCCCGCTGTGGGGACTCCAAGCCCTCATCCACACCAAGCCTCTCGCTCTCTGGGGGACCACTCCCCGACAGCAAGGCCAGTGCCCTGTGGGGGTGTACACGGGGTCCCCATCACTCAGCCCTTGCATCTGCAGATAAACCTGCAACCACATGCGCTCGAAGGCGACTCCTACCCTGACTTTGGAATGAACTCCCAGCCCATCCCGAGGTGGGTCAGGCCTTCTGGCCCGCCACGTGGAGGCCTAAGATAGGATCTACGACAGGGGCCCTGACATTAGTCTAGGGACCCCTTGACAGTCTATAGAGAGGACTAGGGACTCCTTCTCATGACAATGTTTCAACAGGCATGAAATAAACATAAGGAATCACCCAGGCAACCAGTATAGAGAACTGCAGTTGCCATCACTCAGGAAGCCATGTGACGCCAGGTAGCACATCAGATAGCAAATTCAGCGCAGGCCTGGCAATCACGAGGACAAAGAGCTCAGCCATGACCCTGATAGGGTAACTGGCCATTTCTCCAGGTGACAAGGGCGCAGGGACTGCCAGCACCATGGCTTGTGACTACGTTCATAATGGAAGCAGTGCTACATTGTAGCTAGACTGGCGAACATTAAGTGAAAAATAGCAGTGAAAATAGTGGTGTCCCCCATCTAAGTCCACAGACCCGTGGATTCCTCTCTTATGGACTCAGGCTAAGAGCACTGACATAGGACAGCGGGGGGGGTTCCCTAAGAAAGAGGGCAATGGGCTGGCCCAGCGGTAGGCTGTCCTGCAGTGCCCAGGCCAGCAGCTCTCCTGATTATTTAACTGAAAAAATTCTTTTCATCCTCCACCTGCTTGAGCTTGGTGCTCAGGCCCAGCTTCTGCCGGTTCTCCTCCTGCAGCAGCTCCTAATCCTGGGATGAGATGAATGTGGGTGCTCAGGAGAGCAACCTCATCATTGTGAGACAGTCACCTTAAGGACCGGCTAATACAGAAAGGCACTCTATATAGAAACAAGAAGTACCAAACCTCAGAGTGCTCAGGTTTCTGAACCCCAGAAACCCCACACCCTACAGAAAAAAAAGGAGCCGGTCCTGCTGATTCACGGGATGATCATGTAAAGACCTGGTGAAAGCTGGGAGCACGCAGAGACCGCCCCTCCAGGATGAAAAGGAGAATGGGCAATCTGACCAACTCTAGAGCTAATAGGCAGAGGGGCCTTCCTAAAGGAGTCCACCTTCCAAGAACCTGAATTTCCATGGGATATTGAGCAAGTCCATGTTGGCTTCCAAATACAAAATTGTTTTTCAGGAAGAAAATGTTGCTACTGAGAAGTAGGCTCACTACTAGCTTGTCAGTGATGTCACCTTTTGTCCGACATCATCAATCAGGCCTCAGTTGGTCATAAGCTCCAGTGACTGGTAGCTGGAGTCCATGACAGCTGAGGCCGGATTCACAGCGGCAGTCAAAAATGATAGTCCCTTGATATTCTAGAAGCCCCAAAGACATCTCTCTTCAAGACAAACAAATACATCTTACCACGTGAGGTGACGTCTCCTCCGGAGGCCCCTGGGTCGTACCCTCCTCCGGGTCTTGAACGGGAGCTAGGAGGAAACAGAGAGACAGTCAGTGCACTGGTGCTGCTGAGGAATCCCACCAGGAGGCTTGGGGGATGTGGACCGAAGCTGCAGTGTATGGAGCTGCGCTGCCGACAAGCATGGACTGAGCTGCTCATGGACCACTCTCCTTGGTGTTGAAGGAAGGCAAAGGACAGGGGCACAAATGAACCAAAGAGCCTTGGGCTTTCTAGCTACGGCAACCTCATCACTGTGAGACAGTCACCTTAAGGACCGGCTAATACAGAAAGGCACTTTATATAGAAACAAAAAGTACATTAGGGCTGCCTAGAACCGGGGTGCAAGGTTGGGAAAAACAGAGGGGTGTCTACTAACGAGGTTTCTTTGAGGAGGAATGAAGAGGTTTTGAAATTAGATTGTAACATGCATGCATAGCCTATAAATATAGTAAAAACACCAATCACCCACTCTAAATGGGTGAATCGGGTTGCGGGTCAACTACATCCCAATGAAGCCATGTTCAACAGAGAATACGTACGGTGGTGATATTCACAGGCTGCATCCTCCTGCAGTAAGAGGGGGGAAAAAAACCATCGTGAGGATGAGATCATACTGGGTCCCGACTGCACGGGTCTTTTATTCACTTGGTGGTGTTAGAAAACCAGGTATCCAACAGTGATCAAGTCACTGATCCCCAAATACAGCCTAGAGGATGCCTGGAGAAAGGGCTGTGGGTTTCTGTCTTTGGTTTTGGACAGATTCTTGCTCTGTCACCCAGGCTGGAGTGCAGTGGTATGATCTCAGCTCACTGCAACCTCAGCTTCCCGGGTTCAAGCATTTCTCCTGCCTCACTCAGCCTTCCAAGTAGCTGTGACCACAGGCGCCTGCCACCACGCCCGGCTAGTGTTTGCATTTATAGTAGAGATGGGGTTTCATTATGTTGGCCCTGTCTGCCTCAGCCTCCCAAAGTGCTGGGATTCCATGTGTGAGCCACCGAGGCAGTAGGTTTTCATGGGATATTGAACAAGTCCATGTTGGCTGCCAAATACAAAATTATTTTTCAGGAAGAAAATGTTGCTACTGAGAAATAGGCTCACCACTAGCTTGTCAGTGATGTCACCTTTTGACCGACATCATCAATCAGGCCTCAGTTGGTCCTAAGCTCCAGTGACTGGTAGCTGGAGTCCATGACAGCTGAGGCCGGATTCACAGCAGCAGTCAAAAATGATAGTCCCTTGATATTCTAGAAGCCCCAGAAAAAGACATTTCTCTTCAAGCCAAAGAAATGCATCTTACATGAGGTGATGTCTCCTCCGGAGGCCCCTCGGTCGTACCCTCCTCCGGGTCTTGAACGGGAGCTAGGAGGAAACAGAGAGACAGTCAGTGCACTGGTGCTGCTGAGGAATCCCACGAGGAAGCTTGGGGGATGTGGACCGAAGCTGCAGTGTATGGAGCTGCGCTGCTGACAAGCATGGACTGAGCTGCTCCTGGACCACTCTTCCTGGTGTTGACAGAAGGCAAAGGAGAAACGAAAGAGCCTTGGGCTTTCCAGCTACGGCAACCTCATCACTGTGAAACAGTCTGAGAACCGGTTAACACAGAAAGACACTGCATGGCTCAGCGAGAGCATCTCATCAGACCTGCTGCCCACGTGAAGGTCTATGCGAATCCCAACATTTTATGAAACTTTACAGGATTATTTAACTTCTGTGGATCTGCATATCCTGATACTACAATTATCTATCCTGTTGTATTTTTAAAATAGTAGTAAAGCATACATATTTATTATTTGAGTTGTTAACTGTGCATTTTAATGCACAACATTCATGATGCTGTGTCAATAATGAGAAAAATCTAAATTCATAATCTAGCTTCCACCTTGGGCAATGAAAGAAAAACAGCAGTGTAATGTCAAATAGAGGAAAAATACATAATGATTGCAGAAATTAAAGGAATAAAAAACAGGAAATCATCAGAGAAAATCAACAAAACCAAAAACTAGTTCTTTGAAAAGATCAAAAACATTGATAAACCTCTACCTTTTCTATCCAGAAAGGAAAAGAAGGAAGTCACGATGGATGCTGGATGCGTAACTGTAAACACATCTGTGCTCACACTTGGATACATTATATGAAATGAGCTAATTTTTTGGATCTGTTTCAGAAGGTTAAAAGTCTTCTCAGGATAAATGAATCATCTGAATAGGTCTATATTTAATTTAGAAATTGAATCAATAATTAGTATCCTCTCAAAAAAAAAAAAAAAAACAGAAAACACTACCTTCAGATGAATTCACCGGTAAATTCTACCAAAATTCTCACAAAGAAAGGTAGTCTTACCATACAAGCAAGTAACCATAATTTTAGCATTGCCTTAGTTACATTGTAAAAATTATGTTTCCAAACAAGACACAAGAAGGTTTATACCTGCTGTATTCATAATTGCCCAAACTGAAAGCAAATGTCTAAATATTTGAGATGTCCTTTACTATCAAAAGTGAACCAAGCCTGGGAAACATGGTGAAATCCTGTCTCTACAAAAAAAGTAACATTAAAAAAAATAGCATGTGCATTACAGCCAAATTGCTTGGGAGGCTGAGGTAGAAGGATCAGCTGAACATGGGGAGGTCAAGATTGCAATGAGCTGTGATTGCACCAATGCACTCCTGGGTGACAAAATGAGACCTTCTCACAAAAATAAAGAAACAAAAAGAACCAAACTCTAAGTTGTCAACGTAACTTTCCTTGTGTAGTTGCATCACCCGTTGATTAAATGCATTTCAATGGGCACGAACGAAATAAATGAAGAACCTGACATAGCATTTACTGAGTTTCTCTCATATGGGACACTGGAGGAGTAAACTGAAATTATTTGCTTCAGTCAACTTCATGATATAATTTCCACCCTACCTTCATTTTCTTTGCGGCAAATTTTTTTACGCCTCCTTTTTGCTGCCCAGCTCCTGGCGCGGCCAGCCAAACCTGCAAGGCAGAAATGCATCATAATAAAGACAGTGCTTGACATCTTGCTGGCAGAGGACCACGGAGAAATCAGTAAAAACGTTCTCAGTTTAAACTTTTGATCCTAGTTTTCACCGACTGCTTTTCAATGCGACCTGAATTAGATCTGGGTTCTAGGAAGATTTGTTTGTGCAGGCAGATACCTTTATTCAGATGAGACAATACAGAGAAGCAGAAGTTCCAAGTTACCAAAAAATAGGCTGGGTTCAAATCCTACTTAGAATCTGCACATACCTGGGAGAGGGATATGAACCCATCTGTGCCTCTCTTCCCTATTCTCAGATGTGGAAACATTAGTAGATCTAGGCTATAGACCTAAGGTTATAGTGTCTAAAAGAATGAAATGCAGATAAAGACTTAAATAGACTCATGTTTTTGGAAATGCCCTAAAATGTCTAATCAATGTCGAGAAGAATAATCCAGACACTTGGTAGTGGTTGAATATAGAGAGGGAGCTTGCATGTCTCTGCGCAGGGTTAGGATGGAAAGTGACTTCAGTTTCCATGGCCACATGATTTCCAGCTCATGACAGAGATCTCTGATTTCCCTGATCCCCAAGTCAGCCCCAAGGGATAGGCAGGGAAGGGGCTACAACCCGTATTTTCAAATTCAGTGAATTCAAATTCAGACATTTTGAGTGACTTGCCGTCACCACAGTGAGGAGTGATAGGTCTGAGGTAATCATGTGGTTGGTTCCCCGGGGAGAGAGATCCCGGAACACCTGAGTCCTCTAGATCATGCCCTGGACCCTGGACCGAGAGCTGTTCTCACAAGCTCTGTGAAATCCTGCTGCCCCAGTGTTTCTGTGGGATGGTTGAGGCTATGGAGAGGTCGCAGGTGGCTTACCGCAGTTACTGACCTACTCTATTATCCCTATGTTGTCACTTTTAGTAGTTTTATGACCCATAAGGCAAACATTTTAAGTCTCAGTTATGATGCACGGTCTGAGATTTTATCTGAATCCACTCTTTCCACCCATCAGGTGATTCTCATCGGCTGGGCTGGAGCTGGCCTGCCGTAAAAGAGGACACATGGCATACCACAGAGCGGCTGTGCGCCCCACTCCTGCACATACTCTTGCCTTGCTTCTGCTTTCCCAGCTCTGACAATCCTAATTCTGGCTTCCAAACCAATCCTGTACGTCCCTCTCAGTTCTCAGACTTGCCTCAACTGTTGGATATTTTAATCACTGTTGTGACCATGACTGAACGGTCACATTTCATATGCCATAGTATATGTTTATCTTTTTACATATTTCTTAATAGCATTTAACTTATTGTTTCAGACTTTTAGGAACATTTCTGGGCTAAGTGTGCTGGCCCATGGCTGTAATCCTGACAGTTTTGGAGGTTAAGGCAGAAGAACTGCTTGAGGTCAGACGTTTGAGACCAACCTGGGCAACACAGTGAGACCTCGTCTCTAGAAAAAATCTACAAATTACCAGATGTGGCGGTGAGCCCTTGTATCCCTAGCTACATGGAAGGCTGTTGTGGGAAGATCGTTTGAGCCTAGAAGATTGAGGCTGCAGTGAGCTATGATCACGCCACTGCCTGGGTGACAAAGCAAGACCCTGTCTTTTCACAATAAAAAGCATTACTGTGTCACAAGTATCCCCATTTTATTTCTCATTATCTAATATTGCTGTTTTCATCCTGAGGCTTAATTGCTTTAGTAAGCTAAGAAAAAAAAAAGTTTTTATTTTTATTTTTAGAAAGGGTACTATTTAAAGCAGGTCATATTCATGCCCTTTTGTAAATCCTAGTTTTATATGCCATAAATCTAGAATTTACACTCTTGATGTATTGAGTCTTTTTCTTAGAACCAGCCTCCTCATATGTAACACAGTATAATTCCCATTTTACACCTGACTCGAAACATTGAGAGGATAGAATAAAATGAAAGAGCAGTCTGTATACCATGTAATGCACAATGAGTCACAAAGCGAAGTTTTCTCCAACTCAAAGGCGACAAGTGCACAGTTAGCGTCCTCTGCAGAACCCATAGCAAAATGAAATTTTGAGAAAATATGCACTTTGGCTGCCCAGTGAAGTTAGAAGGAAACTGTCACAGGTCATCATCAAGACTTCCCCAACATTGGCTTTTATTTTTAAATAATGAAATACACATGATTTCGCCTGCTTTCTTTCGTGTATATTACTGCATGTTCTCTTTGCTTTTCTGCGTACCCTATCTTGGGAATCACTCCATAGCAATAAAAAGACATCTTACTCTTTTTTACAGCTCCATACTTCTCCTTTATGTAGAAATACCAGCTTATTTTTTTTTCTTAGAAATAAACATTTAATAAGGACTGATAAACAGAAGCCATGTCTGTGTCTTGAGGGGTGGCAAGACAAGATGGTGGATCCCTGTGCCATTACCCCTCACATCCCTCAGACCGAGGGCGTGTATACCATAGGGAAGGAAGGTGTGGGACAATTGAAGGTCTTTTTACATTAAAATCTTTTTACCTATAGGCAGGGTTTAGAGTAAGTACCTGCTCTACACAATGGCTCACAATGCCCTGCCCCACAGCCCCACCCAGGTGCTCACAATACCCTGCCCCACGGCCCCACCCAGGTGCTCACAATACCCTGCCCCACAGCCCCACCCAGGTGCTCACAATGCCCCGCCCCACAGCCCCACCCAGTGGCTCACAATGCCCATCCCTGCTTCTGCCCACCTGTGGTCACCTTTCCCCTCTGTGTGACATTATTCATCCTGGGCTGCCTGAGCTTTCCAGTCCTGAGAAAAGTGTGTGTGTGGAGGGGAGGGTGGTTGTTATTAAAAGTCACCCTGGGCACTGAACTCAGTAGAAAACCCTGGTTACTAATGTCAGTTCCATTAGCATCTCTGGTTTTCTGAGTCTGGTAGCTTCCATTTGTTCAACGAACGTAGTGATACACAAATGTTTGACTGATTTTGTACCTAAATGCTCCTCTCCTGTCTTACAAGTGTTAGTTTTTGTCTTCAATTTGACCACAGCAAAAACATGAAATGTTTCCTCTCTCCTCCCCTTTTCCATCCTGTAGGAAGGGGAGCCATGAAAACAAACTCTTTTCCACAGGCAGGGTCTGGCCTTCTAACTCCAAGTCTTTACCTTCCAAATTCAAGTCTAAAGTCATTTCATCTCTTTTGGAACCTGTAACCATGAGCTAGCTCTACCTGTCTTTCAGAACAAGGAGGTAAACTAAGCCCGTGACGTTACTGGAGTAGGGCTGAAGAGACGTTCACGTCAAAGTGGGAATGTTGAAGCAATCAGAGCTCCACGGCTACACTTTTGGGTAAAACCACAACAAAAACAGCTTTTTTACAGCTCGGGCAGTAACATTTCATAACTTTTGCAGTCATTTTAAGCATGTCCCTCAATTTTTCCTTCGGTTTTCAAATTACAATTGGAAGACATAAAGCTGCTTCTGTCAAGGTGACTTAAAACCATCTATTAAGAACACCATATAATCTCTTCCATGGCAAACTCTACTTCAAATTTAACAAGTCTCCAAATATTTGAGTCTCAATTATCCCAATTATTAGCTTCTCTATCGAATAGGAGAAAAAAAATCATTGGGCCTTTAACTGGCTCCTTCACTGAGGTGCCATGGTAGCTGGACAGCCAAGGCTAGAGAATGGGATGGAGACTCCAAAACTGGAGTATCTGAATTTTCACCAGGGAAAGGGAGAGACTAGACCAAAAAGGCCTCAAGCAAGAAGGCTCAACAACGAAGACAAGAGGCAGGACTCGCCTTTGTCCCCCATGCCCAGCCCCGGGAAAGCTGGCTATAGGCAGGAGGGAGCTGGAAGCTGAGGATGTCTCTGGGGTGATGGGATGGGAAGGAGGTGGGGAGGTGGTGGCCAGAGATGTGCCAGAGAGCAAATGGCACCCATGGCTTCTTTACCTTTGCGCCTCTTTGATTTTCCGGGCCGCGCGTCCTGGACCTCCACCACTCCAGTATGTAACACGGCAGGCTCTGGAGTGGTAGATGCCACAGACTGGCCACGAGGCTCACAGCAGGCACAACTGGGGCCAGCGCTGGGGCATAGACAATTCCCCATGGGTGATCCACAAGGGGACTGTAACAACAAAGTAACACAAAATAAAATAAAATAAAAAAACAAACAAACAAAAAAAAACGAAGAAAACAAAACAAAGCAACACGCAAAAAAAAAAAAAAAGCAACAGACAAAATAAAATAAAACAAAGGAAAAAACAAAGAAACAGAGCAAGCGCCAAGGGAACAAACACTTCCGTGAGAGCAGTCGGAGCTCCTCCTCCTCCCACTACCAGCTTCCGACTGAAGGCTGCTGGTCCTGGCTGATGCCTATCCCCCACAAAGCCTCCTATGTCACCTGATTGCCAGGAAACAACAAAGTCAGGCCAGTGACTCACAATGCCACTTCTCACAACCCCATCCAATGGGTCACAATGCCCATTCCTGCTGCTGGCCACCTGTGGCCACCCTGCCCCTCTTGGTGACTGCATTATCCTGAGCTGCCTGAGATAATCCAATTTTCACTACAGGCCTCAAAAAATTCAGCAATGTCCCTTCATAGATTCTATATACAGTGTGTCTAACCTGTGAATAAAAACAAAGGTTTCATTCTGCGTGATCAAATCCACAAACACAAAGCATTTTCACAGAATCCTTTGGGGCCCACCTCTCACCTTCAGCGTCCCCTTCTTAGTTATCTGGGCTTCTGTCTTGTATGATCTGTCAGGTTCTAGGCCTTGTAAGGGTGAGTTCCATGTCTCCACTCACTTACATGTGCCCAGGACGGTTGGCTCTTGGGAGGCTCTTCATGGTGATTGAGGCCATGGATCCTTCGCACTGTTCCTTGAATCCACTTGACACGAAATACTCATCCTGAAATGATGCTTTGAAAGCGATGCTTCCAGTCAATTGTGGGTCCACTGTATTATGGATCCCTAGTACCCAATACACGGCATATAAGAAATGAATGGAAAATGAGTGCATGGACTCAAGTGTGCCTACAAGGTGAGAGAAAAGGGTCCTACTTACTAGGTGTGCTACGAAGGCATCTGGGACCATTGGCTTTGCTATTTCATAGCAGGCCTGGGGCTTTGAAGGCTGGTATTTCCTCATTCTAAACCTCAGAGTCCAATGAATTACCACCAAGTGGACAAAGGTCCATGGGCCAGAGCTCTTGGTGTGAACAACATACCTTTTTTGGGTGTGATTCATAAACGGGGACTATACAAAACTAAGAACCATGTTTGTGTGCTGACTACCTGCAAGCCGTGGTGAGAAAACACTCTGTATACATGATCTTATTCAATGCTTGTTACAAATCCCTGAAGTGGATTTTTAGACAAACTTTCTATTCTAGAGCTTTTTGGAACAAGAGGCTAGTGTAGTGAGCTTCCACCTACTCAGCAGCAGATTCAGATATTTGTAATCTGACGGCCAATCTCGTTACATGTATGCTCCTACATGCTTCTCCTCTTCCTCTCGTGATTTTATAGCAAATCCCACACATTACAGAATTTCCTCCCTGACCTTCTTGGTGGATGTCTGTAAAAGATATGATTGTTTGTTCTTTCACCACGAGGTCTCTGTCACCCAGGCTGGAGTTCAGTGGCATGATCTTGGTTCACTGTGGCCTCTCCTGCCTCAACTTCCTGAGTAGCTGCAACTACAGACTGACACCATGCCCTGCTCATCTTTTTATTTGTATTTTAGTAGAGACAGGGTCTTGCTATGTTGCCTGGGCTGGTCTACAATTCCTGGATTCAAAGGATCTTTCCACCTTGACCTCCAACACTACTGAGATTATAGGTGTGAACCACCGTGCCCGGAGACAAGTCATTAAAAAATAGAATCCCAATACCATCATCAACCAACCATCTCACACCATTGCTCTTTATCACTGTCAACTCTCCTTCTAGCTCCAAATTTCCAGTCATTTCATGTATTTATTGTTTGAATCAGGATCCAAATAAAGTCTCCCTTTGGGATTGTGTGATTCGCCTCTTAGGGTTTTTTGATCCTGACAGCGTCCCACTTTCATCTCTGTGCTGTCCCTTGCAATCCATTTATTGAATAAATCAGGCCATTTCCCCACACTTTGAATTATGCTAAGTGTATTCTCATTATGCTGTTTCTCATACTGTGAATTTTGCTAATTGTATCTTATGATGTTGGTTAACTTGCTCTTCACTTTGTTCTAGTTTTGATATATTAGTTTAATCTCAAGACTTGGTGAGATTCAGGCTGGACTTGATTCAGGGCAAAAAGGCTGTGCTAGTTTCTTCTGGGAGGAGGTGTGTACTCTCTGGAGATCTTTTTTTTTTTTAATTGGTGGTGTTAATGGCCACTGATCAATTACGGATTGAACAATGAAGGCATTGTTGTATCATTCCTTCTTCGTTTATGAGCTGCCACCCGTCGAAGAGATACTGCTACCCTAAGAAGGGCCGTGCATGAAGAAAGAGACACTGCTACCCCAAGCAGAGCCTTGCATTAAGAAAAAAATGAAGTAAATATAAAAAAGAGATGCTGCTTCTTATGAACCGTTACTCACTTGTACAACTTATATAGAAAACACCAGTTCATGGCTTAATTTCTTGTTTACCATTTTTCAAAATCATGGGCTGTTTCATTTATATCCTTCAATGGTGACCACTTCTATTAATTATATATATATATATTTTTTTTGAGATGGAGTTTCACTCTTGTTACCAATGCTGGAGTGCAATGGCGCAATCTCGGCTCACCGCAACCTCCGCCTCCTGGGTTCAGGCAATTATCCTGCCTCAGCCTCCCGAGGAGCTGGGATTATAGGCACGCGCCACCATGCCCAGCTAATTTTTTGTATCTTTAATAGAGACGGGGTTTCACCATTTCAACCAGGATAGTCTCGATCTCTTGACCTCGTGATCCACCCGCCTCGGCCTCCCAAAGTGTTGGGATTACAGGCGTGAGCCACCGCACCCGGCCTAATGATACTTTTTTTAGACAGGGAGGGTCTAGCTCTGTTGCCCAGGTTGGTATGCAGAGAAGCAGTCATGCCACTACAGCCTCAAACTTCTAGGGTCAGGTGACCCTCCCATCTCAGCTTCCTGAGTAGCTGAGACCAAAGACACGGGCCCTCAAACCTGAGTAATTTAAAAAATCTTTTCTTGAGACAAAGTGCCCGTGTTGCACAGGCTGGTCTTGAACTCCTGGATGAAGTGATCCTCCTAACTCAGCCTCCCAGAGTGTTGAAATTACAGGCACGAGGAGCTGTGCCAGCCCACTTTTATTTTTTCAAAAGGATCATTATGAATGCAGATATTCAAACATATCTGATATATCTCAATTCACTGCAACTATTATCCTTACTAATGTACAAAATGTCCTATCTTTGGTTAGAAGGAGGCCCTTCAGATTGGCCCTTCGGACATGTTGAAATCATCCTAATCTTTGATAGATTCTTTGCTATCCAGAGTGATAATAGGTTCCAGGCTCCTTACACATTTCTGGCCTAGACCTGGAATCAGCACTTTGTCCAGGAAGCCTTGTTTCCTTTCACTGGGCAACGGTATTTTGAGACCACAATCTTGGTGCTAGGGGCAAATAGTATAATTTTAAAACTTAAAGAACTACCTGGCTCGTGTCTGTAATCCTAGCACTTTGGGAGGCCGAGATGGGTGGATCACCTGAGGTCACGACTTTCAGACCAGCCTAAACAACATAATGAAACCCCATCTGTACTAAAAATACAAAAAATTAGCCAGGCATCATAGCGGGAGCCTGGAATCCCAGCTACTTGGGAGGCTGAGGCAGGAGAATCACTTGAACCTGAGAGGTGGAGGTTGTGGTGAGCTGAGATTGTGTCATTGCACTCCAGCCTAGGTAAAAACAGCAAAACTGTTTACAAAAAATAAATAAAATTAATTTAAAAATTAACATCTTTATAGAGGTGTAATTTACAAACTAAAATCTACCCATTTTAAGTGTACAATGATTTTTTGTGTGTGTGTGTGTGAGAGAGAGAGAGAGAGAGAGAGAGAGAGAGAGAGAGAGAGAGAGACAGGGTTATCACTCTGATACCAAGGCTGGAAGGCAGTGGTGCCATCATGGCTGACGGCAGCCTCAACCTCTTGGGATCAGGTGATCCTCCTGCCTCAGCTCCCTGAGTACCTGAGACTACAGGCTTGTGCCACCACACCTGTTAAAGCATTTAAATTATTTGTAGAGATGTTTCCCAGGCTGTTCTTGAACTCCTGGGCTCAAGTGATCTTGCCATGGCCTCCCAAAGTGTTGGGACTACAGGTGTGAGCCACTGCAGTTAGTCCAATTCAATGATTTTTAGTACATTTAGTATATTTGCAGAATTATGTGACAATCACCAAAATCTAGTTTAAGGACATTTCATCATCCCAGAAAGAAACTCATGCCCATCAGAGTCACTTTTCAGTCTCATTCCCAGCCCTAGTCAACCAGTAAGCTGCTTTCTATCTCTATATTAGGCTGTTCTGGACCTTTCATATAAACGAAATCATGCGACGTGTGTTCTTTTGCAGCTGGCTTCTTTCCCGAAGCCTTGCGTTGCTGAGGTCGATCACTCTGGTAGCATGCCTCAGAACTCATTTTTGATTGCTGAATAGTATTCCTTTGTACTCCCCACATTTGAATTCCTTCGTCAGTTGATGGGCATTTGGCTTATCTCCACTTTTTGGTTCTTGTGAGTGGCATTGTTGTGAACATTCACCCACAAGTCTTTGTGGGAACATACATTTTCATTGTTCCTGGTTAGATACCTAGAAGTAAAGTTGCTGACTTTAAGGCAATTTGACTTTATTTTATTTTATTATTTTTGTCCTGAGCCCCTTGCAGTTCTGCTAGAGAAGGCGATTTTATTTTTAACATTTTGAGAAACTGTCATACTATCTTCCAAAAAAGTGGCTGTAGCATCTTACATTCCCACTGGCAGTGTGTGAGGGCTCTGTTCTCCACGTCCTCTCCAGCACTTGGTGTCATGCATCTGCTGCTTGGTTGTAGTTATTCTACTGGGTGGAAAGAGACATCGCGTTTTGGATTAATTTGCATTTTCCTAGTGACTGATGATGTTGAGCACTTTATAATGTGCTTATTGGACATTAAAATATTATCTTTGGAGAAATGTTTCTTCATGTTCTTTTCCCATTTTAAACTTAGATTGTCTTTTAATATTGAGTTGTAAGAGTTCTGGATATATCGGTTGTTAGACATATGATTTATAAATCTTTTCTCCCATTCTGCAGCTGTCTTCCCCTTTCTTGATTGTATCTTTCGTTGTGCCAAAAGTTTAAATTCAGCTGATGCTCAATTTTTTATTTTCTTGCTTTTTCCCTTTCCTCCTTTTCCAGGTCTCACTAGGTGGCCCTGACTGGTCTTCAACTGTGCTTTTGATGTTGTATCTGAGACATCAGTGCCTTACACAAGATCACAAGGATTTACTCTTATGTTTTCTAAGAGTTTCATTGTTTTTAGTTATACATTTAGGTCTGTGATCCCTTTTCAGTTAATTTTTGTGTATGGTGTTAGGCAGGGACCCAGATTAATTTATTTGTACATGAATATCCAGTTGCCTCACCACCGTTTGTTGAAGTCTATTCATGGTTGGAAACAGTGGGAGGCCAAGGCTGGAGTATTGCTTGAGTCCAGGAGTTTAAGGCTGACATCTGCCTAATTCTCCCCATAATTTCTCCAACATCTGCCTAATTCTTCCCCCACACCCAGCCCGGGGTAAACACCATTCTACTCTCTGCTTCTATGACTTCAACATTTTTTCTTTTTTCCTTTTATTTTTTCTTTCTTTCCATTTTCTTTAATGAATCAGTTCCTAAGCAGAGTTCAACTTTTTAAGGATCCACACATGAATGACATCATGCAGGGTTTGTCTTTCGGTGCTCTAATTATTTCACTTAGCATAATGTCGTCCAGTTTCATCCATGTCATCGCAAATGCAACAATTTTTAGGCAGATGTTGGAAAAATTATGGGGAGAATTAGGCAGATGGTAGTCTTAAACTCCTGGACTCAAGCAATATTCCAGCCTTGGCCTCCCAAAGTGCTGGGATGACAATCATTTGAACCCAGGAAGTGAGGTTGCAGAGTGAGACTCTGTCTCAAAAAACAAGAGGAGATGAAAGACTTGCTAGAGCTAGGTGTAGTGGCTCAGGCCTGGAATCCCAGCTGGGAGGCAAGATGGGAAGATCACTTGGGGCCAGGAACTGGAGACCAACCTGGGCAATCAAAAGACCCAGTCTCTAAAAAAAAAAAAAAAATATATATATATATATATATATATATATATATATATATATATATATATATATATATAAACATGGTCAGCAGGGCACAGTGGCTCACACGTGTAATCCCAGCACTTTGGGAGGCAGAGGAGGGCAGAACACCTGGGATCGGGAGTTCGAGATCAGGCTTACCAGCATGGAGAAACCCTGTCTTTACTGAAAATACAAAATTTAGCTGGGTATGCTGGCGTGCGCCTGTAATGCCAGCTACTCGGGAGGCGGAGGTAGGAGAATCGCTTGAACCTGGGAGGCGGAGGTTGCAGTGAGCCAAGATCATGCCATTGCACTCCAGCCCGGGCAACAAGAGCAAAAAAAAAAACCACAGGGTCTCATTCTGTCGCCCAAGCTAAAGTACAGTAGCATGATCACAGCTCACTGTAGCCTTGATGATCTGAGCTCAAGTAATCCTCTTGCCTCAGCCTCCTGAGTAGCCAGGACTGCAGGAGCACACCACTGTGCCTGGATTTTTTTTTTTTTCTTTTTTTTTTTATTAGAAACAAAGCCTCGCTCCATTGCCCAGGCTGGTCTTGAGCTCCTGAGCTCAAGCAATCGTCCCAGCTTGGACTCCCAAAACACTGGGAATACAGGCATGAGCCACTGCTTCCAGCCTACATGAAATTTTGTGCGTGTGTGAGATGGAGTCTTGCTCTGTCACCCAGGCTGGAGTGTAATGGTGTGATCTCAGCTCACTGCAACCTCCATCTCCTAGGTTCAAATGATTCTCCTGCCTCAGCCTCCCGATTAGCTAGGATTACAGGTGCCCACGATCATGCCCAGCTAAGTTTTATATTTTCAGTAGAGGCAGGATTTCACCATGTTGGCTAGGCTGGTCTTGAACTCCTGACCTAGTGATCTGCCTGCCTCCGCCTTTCAAAGTGCTGGGATTACAGGCATTAGCCACTGCACCCAACCTAATTTTTGTATTTTTAGTAGAGATGGGGCTTCGCCATGTTAGCCAGGCTTGTCTCAAACTCCTGACCTCAGGTAATCTACCTGCCTAGGCCTCCCAAAGTGCTGGGATTACAGTTGTGAGCCACTGTGTCCAGCCATATATATGTTTTTAAAAATATTAGCCAAGGGTAGTGGCACACACCTGTAGTCCCAGCTACTCCAGAAGCTGAGAGAGGAGGATGCCTTGAGCCCAGGACTCTGAGGCTGCAGTGAGCTCTGATTGTGCCACTGCTCTGAAGTCTTGGTGACAGAGCCCCTGTCTCATAAAAATAAAAAAAATTAAAAAATAAAAAGGGAAGGAAGGAACAAAGGGAGGGAAGGAAGGAGGGAGGGAAATTTAACTTATCAGGCAGAGTCCTATGAATAAAAAAGAAAAGAAAGGTGGCCGGGCGCAGTGGCTCACGCCTGTAATACCAGCACTTTGGAAGGCTGAGGCAGGCAGATCATGAGGTCAGGAGTTCAAGACCAGACTGGTCAACATGGTGAAACCCTGTCTCTACCAAAAAATTCAAAAATAAATTAGCTGTGCATGGTGGCTTGTGCCTGTAATCCCAGCTACTCGGGAGGCCGAGGTAGGAGAATTGCTTGAAACGCTACCCAGGAGGCAGAGGTTGCAGTGAGCGGAGTTCACATCACTGCCCTCCAGCCTAGGATACAGAGCAAGACTCCATCTCAAAACAAAAGGAAAAGAGAGAGAGAGAGAGAGAGAGAAAGAGAGAGAGAGAGAAAGAGAGAGAGAGAGGAGAGAGAGAGAGAGAGAGGAGAGAGAGAGAGAGAGAGAGAGAAAAAGAAAGGCTGGCATGAGGGAGTAGCAGAGGCTGCCCCAAAATGTGCTCAGCTCAATGCCTCCGTTTCGTCCTCTCTGTGTGTCAGCTTCTCACTCCCCAAAATTTCCCCAGTTCCTCCTCCTGCCACCCCCACACAAAGTATATGGGAAAAAGAATGAACTCAACTATCAATTATCTGGGGGCTAAACCCATGCTTTACGTGGGGTCCCCATTTTGCTGGGCTTTTGAGTCCCTTTACTGCTTGTCAGACCACAGTGTGTCTTCATTCCACCAAGAAACTTAATCCCTACAAACCCTGTATCCTACAGGAGCAAAGGAGGAGAGAAGACTCACTAATCCATTTCCAGAAACCATTACAGAACCCAAGGGTCCTAAGTGGAAAAGGTGAGCCCATGTCATAGAACTAGGGAACTGTGGAGGCTTTGAAACATGTCTACAAATGCATTGTAACACCTCCCTTCAAGAGGTGGAGCTAAATTCTCCTCCCCTTGAGTATGAGCTGGACTTAGTGATTTGCTTTTAATCAATAGGATATAGCAGGGCGCGGTGGCTCACGCCTATAATCCCAGCACTTTGGGAGGCCGAGGCGGGTGGATCACGAGGTCAAGAGATCGACACCATCCTGGTCAACAAAGTGAAACCCCGTCTCTACTAAAAATACAAAAATTAGCTGGGCATGGTGGTGCGCACCTGTAGTCCCAGCTACTTAGGAGGCTGAGGCAGGAGAATTGCTTGAACCCAGAAGGCGGAGGTTGCGGTGAGCCGAGATCGCGCCATTGCACTCCAGTCTGGGTAACAGCAGCGAAACTCCGCCTCACAAAAAAAAAGGATATAGCAGAAGCAATATGTGACTTTCAAAATTAGGTCAAAGAAGGCACTG